TTTGCTGTAAATGTAAACGTTGTAGAAGCTGATGGTCGGAATAATAACTAGCAATTCGACAAATAATTACGTGGTCGATTTTTTGAAGGAGAATTTTGTAGTAAATAAGATCATGAAAGTCTTGAACATAATCCTGGCTGGAAAGTTTCAGATGAGTTTCATTTAACCTTTTACAGTTTATTTGTTTCTTTTTAGTCTGCAGCATTTGCATTTCGAGAATGTTTCATTTTTAAATTCAAACTCTTCTAAGTTGTAAAACGTAATTTTTTGACTCCAAAAAAAAGTATTTGCACTGTGACGGAGCTCATTAATATTACAAAAGTGCCCAAAATAAAAGTGTTTATAACACTGTGTAAAGCAAATAAATATTTGCCACTTTGTTTTTGAAAATATATGTTGTTTATTGTGTGGGTGTAAATGTGCTTTGGTAAATTTCTATTATTATGTAAATGATATGCAAATTATATGCAAATTAGGGCGCCACAGTGGTTTAAATTCCTGGGGAGAACACTGCTACCATATCCTTATATTGCCCGGAAGTACAATTTACTTGAAAGTGAATAAATTATGGGTATTTGAAATCATGAGTATTCTTCTACCTTAAGATAGACCTGTACTCATAAATGAAAATAAATGAAAATACTGGAACTCGGACTTATTTTGCAATAAATAGTACTCCAGGGCAAAAGGTTTGGGGTGACATGAGAAAACGATGGATGTATTAATGACATGTATGGTGACAGACTAAACAAATTATACATGACTGACTGATGTACTGTTATCCTGAAATACGGTATTCAATAATTTAGATTTTAGGAAAGTGACAAAATATTCAATTCTTTGAAATTGTGTTCTATGGAACAGTGAATGAATATTGCTTCAGCGGCCTGAGGCTATACGACATAACTCCCCGAGCTTGCGAGGATACGTTAGACGACAAAAGCCATATTCAGTTCATAAAGATGTTATCATATACCTCAGGTTTGATTAAAAATATAATTGTTTCAATCAGTTTCGATGCTTCATTTATTTTCTAATTTTATTCAAGAGTCAGTGTGGATTGATATTTATGTATTTGACTCGACAAGGCGCACAAACATTCCAATATTTGCCCACTATTGAAAATCTTTCAAACCAGAACACGTAATCTCTTGAATAAGTTAGATTTTTGCCCAAAATATATTTCGATGTGACAGGTCTTTTTTTACCACATATTAAATTAACAAGTACATGGAAACAAAACTGAAAAATTTTACTTACTTGTCATACTCGTATGGAATAACGGACTCTACCGAGTCTAGTCTGTTCACAAACACATCTATCTTCGACTAGAGAGAAACGAGAGAAAACACTAAGAACCATATACACATATTATGTATCATTTTTACTGTAAGAACATTATTATGAGTATTACAATTCAACAAATATTATGAGTATTACAATTCACAAATAGAGGGCGTAAAATTAATGGATACAGCATCTGCACACAAAACTACTAGTAGTACCATGTGTATGTAACATGTGGCGACGCATTAAAAAACGGTGAATAAATCTCACACTAGGTAACAGCTGGAGACTAAGATTTGTAGTATTTTATAATATATACATTTCATATTCATGCATTGAAAAAAAAAATCTCTTAACAATTCTAAACCTACTGACATAATACAACAGTGAAAATGTTTGAAGAAATTGACATGTGAACAGCGGATATTATGATGGTAAAGAATACATATACCAATACAGTTTTGGTTTATTTCATTGAGTGGTATGCATCAGTAAATGTATCATTGCAACAACAAATGAACAGCTTTTCAAAATAATTTCAGTGTATTCATCACGAATAAATTTAACGAAAATCACTGATGATTTTTACATTTTTCTCTTGAAATTAAAGCCGTTGACAATATTCAATTGCCGGTATTTTTTTTTTAAAAGAGTTTTTACTGCAAGAGACATAGTAAGATATGTAAGATAATAAAATCTATGAATAAATTTGAATGATATTCATACATTGCATAACCATCTTACATAATTTCATGCGGCATATTTAAACAAAATTAATAAAACCAACAGTCTATGCATGCTCCAACAAATAAACATGTGCACAAATTAGAATTATCTTGTCTAAAAAATGTGACACCACGTTGCAAAATTAACTAAAGCAGTCAGTAGATTGAGGCTTTCAAGTACACAGGAACAAAGAAAAGAAAAAACCTGGTATAGAGTTGTAATCCACTTTTCTACTGAGGTAGTTGGTAACACAAATTGATGGCTTTTTGACCATCTACAGTCTCAGTGATGAAAACAAGCTGCTACAACATGCATCATGTCAGGTATCACGATTTGATTTGTTAAAACATTTGAGCACAGTTCATCTAACATGTACAAGACACTGAGCAAAATTAAATTTATTCAATTGTAAGGGCAATACTAATATATAACAACATTTTTGTTTTATTACCACAAATCAAACCATGTTTCTTTTGGTGGAAAAAAAATATTTCAAATTATACAATTACAAACACAAGTTTGTAAAAATGTACAATAAGGCAGCATCAAGCTAATGTGCATCGCTGTTATTCTTGAAATACTCAGTAACGCAGAAAACTGAAATTAATGTTAAAGGGAGAAGGGAGAAGAAGGTGGGTAACATAAGGCCTAATATTATAATAAGGGTCATTGTAGCATAGCGGTCAATGCGGAAGTTGGTGATTCACTCCTGATGACATAATTGTAACGCGAGTACGTACCGTTGTAACAATCAATTTCCACCAAACTTTCAATGTAACATAGCCTTTAATAAGTGTATAGTGCTGTAATTCATCAACTGGTAAATATGAATTGTACAAAAATACAATTCATTATAGAAAATGTCCGATCATCGGGACATTGTCATGCGCAGTGCGAGCGTCAGAAGCTTCTTGAATGCTACTAGTAGTGTTGTCGAAACATAGCAAACAACAACATCTGAAATTGTATCAGGAAAAGACACTGTTTTACAGAACATTTTCTTTACTTTACCTTGCATGTTTCCGGCGTTTTGGCTTCGTCGCCTGCGGGCTGGCAATAGCTGACTGGAGCAAGACCCGGTAGATAGAAACCACAACAAAATGGCACTTCAAACGCGACAAACGCCAAGAAAATTGGCACAACTGTTTTTAGAAACATTGTCCCTTTATACACTGGGATATGTGAAGGAAAAGTGACGAAAAATGATGATATTTGGAGAGTTCTATTCCCCCTGGGCGTGAGCTTCGAAACTATTGCGTGGCAAGTTGATCGTAATACCCTGCTGCTGCTAAAAAATGGCGAATCTGGACACGTCACCTGCAAAGCATCATGGGTAAATCAGTTGACCTGCAGGCCTGCTGTCGCATTCCGGTAAATTAATCAAAATAATCCACGATTCGAAAGGTTTTTTGGGCGCTCTCATATACTCGTGGCACATTCTGAATTACGTGTGTTTTAACTTATTTCAAGCACTTAACATCATTGGAAAGAATATCATATTCAATGCAATTTATTAAACTTGCACAAATGCAGAGAAAACGAAAGTTTCTTATTTCTGTTATTTACCACTGATATATATATATATATATTTATAGGAAATACCTGTAATAAAACCGATATTTATTTATTTATCAATTGATGTATCACCTTAGCAATTTAAAATGCTGCAGAGTTGCATATCAATCGCAGGACGACTCGTTCACATTCGGACTTACCTACATTACCCTCGTAGTTTCCACTCGATATACACTTTCTCTGGGATTAATTATCCCGAATCAAGCAAATATTATAATTCGATTACCGTTACTACATTTATGTGCCTTGTTTTGTATGGGAAATTATGTTTATTTTATTTTTCACGATTAAAAAAACACGCTTTTTTTGTAGAATGTGTTTGTTTTGGGGTCACATGACCAAAAAAATAAACATATGCGATAAAAGACTAACGTGGATAAAAACGCTAATAGCATATCCACTGTTATTTTTTGCTGTTTTAAAATATACCATTTTGAAAAATATATCTTGAAGTATAAATGAGTATTTTTTTCTAATTATTTGTTTCCGTCATTTCTAAAATAGTAACTGTTTCTTCAAAATTTTTAGTGTCACTGTGAGATCGCGCCTGTTTTTTGTATGACGTTTTTAGTAAATACAGGGGCATATTTTTACAAAATCAAAATACGACTTATAAAGGAGCTAATATTCTCGACAAACAGAAACACCAAACGGCGACATCGCAGTGCCACCCATCGAATCGCTATTAGGATTTAAGCAAACCAAAGTTGTTCAGAATTGAAAAGGGAGAAAACGACACTTTTGTAAATTTGTACTTTTAGCAACGTTATCTCCTGTTTTAACACTCGTAGTCACTTACATTCAAGTTGACAAAAAATAAAATAAACCATCGGAAATAACCATCGACACCTACTTGAGCTTGTTTGACAATCATGAATAATTAAGCAGTATTCACACAGTGTATCATGGGTAAAACGAAATTTGTTATGAGAGGGGAAAAATATGCATTTTTTTCATAGAAAAAACAGCTTTTCAACAGAATATGCATGACAGTACATAGAGCAAGGAAAGACCCAAAAAAACAAAAAAAACAATCCAGCTACCATAATGATTAGCGTATCATTGAACAATGATTCCGAGTCGGAGAGTTCAGAATTCGTCGGGTACAAACAGCAGTGATGGATATTTTTGGTCAGCAAAATCGGCCAGGACCTTTGATATATTGGAATGAATGATAACAATAATAATATGTTGCTTGTGTTCAACGGCAATTTAATTCATTAAATGTCAGTAGAATATGTATTCCATTATAATTTGCTTTTGTAACAAATAGTGCATTTATAATATCAACATTTATTGAAATTATAACTGATAATAAAGAGAATACGTCTGCAAAACAAATCTTATGATGTATATCGGGTATATTGCCAGTAATACATATTAATATAGACTTATTGCCTCAATCTAGGGACAATATATTTTCCAGTTCAAAGTTCACTCTCGGCATCGTCTGGTTTTGAATGTTTCTTTGATGTAGAAGACGTCTTGCTATTTTCCTCCGAACTTTTACTTTTTGTTCTCGACATTTTTTTCTTAAGTGTTTTCACCCAACTTCTCTTCTTAGTTGGTGTTGCTTTATCTTTGGGTGGTTCGTTGGTTTGTTTTGCCGCTCCACTCTGTCGTTGTTTGGGTGGCTCATTTTTTTGTTTTGCCGTTCCACCTTGTCGTTGTTTCACGGGTGACTCGTTGGTTTGTTTTGCCGCCCCACCCTGTCGTTGTTTGGATGGCTCGTTGGTTTGTTTTGCCGCTCCACCCTGTCGTTGTTTGGATGGCTCGTTGGTTTGTTTTGCCGCTTCACCTTGTCGTTGTTTGGGTGGCTCATTTTTTTGTTTTACCGTTTCACCTTGTCGTTGTTTCACGGGTTGCTCATTGGTTTGTTTTGCCGCTCCACCCTGTCGTTGTTTCGGTGGCTCAGTGTTTTTCTTTGTCGCACCAAGCTGCCGTTGTTTGGTTGGTTTATTGCTTTGCCTCTCTGCTAATATCAATGCTTCAAACTTATCAACCATAATGTCATTTTTCTGCTTCTTGCTTCCACCGACATCTCCTTCCTCATTTTTTTGTTTTACCGTTTCCAGTCTAGATGCTTCATTCTTGCGTCTTCTTTTTAAGAGTGACAATATTGACACATTCCGCTTTGTTGGGTTATTATTTGGCTTATCTCGCGTCTTTGGTTCTTTCTTTAATTCTCTTTCTCTTAGTTTCCCAGTTTTCTTTATAACTCCCTGTTGTGAGGTTTCACTTGGCGCAGGTGTGATTTGGACTTTGTCCTCCTTGTCATTTTTCTGCTTCTTGCTTCCACCGACATCTCCTTCCTCATTTTTTTGTTTTACCGTTTCCAGTCTAGATGCTTCATTCTTGCGTCTTCTTTTTAAGAGTGGCAATATTGACACATTCCGCTTTGTTGGGTTATTATTTGGCTTATCTCGCGTCTTTGGTTCTTTCTTTAATTCTCTTTCTCTTAGTTTCCCAGTTTTCCTTATAACTCCCTGTTGTGAGGTTTCACTTGGCGCAGGTGTGATTTGGACTTTGTCCTCCTTGCAGGTTTTTCTGATCTCCAAGTGTGCCTCGTCGTGCTTCAGTTTTGTATCGGCTCTACCACGGATTGCGTGTTCACTTTTGAGCGGCGATTCATTAGTGTCTTTACTGGAATTTATTTTCGTTGATGTTTTCTTATTCCGTCGCCTAGATGTCTGAACAGCCACATCCCGAGTGAGGACATGCTTATGTTGGCACATGTATTTGTCGTGACCAGTACTATGGGGGTGTAGTTCGTCTGCAGCAATGCTGTGACATGTCTGTTGGATTGCAGAGAAGCTTAGCTTCTTCAAACAATCAAACACGTATTTATTGTGTTTAGTGGAAACCTTACTTGTGTTTTCGCTGGAAATATCGCCATATTTTTCAGCATCGATTGGTACTTCAGGTAATTCAAACAGCACACTAGTATGATGACGTACATTGCCATTGTCAAGGGAATCAGACACTCTGGTAGTTTTAATTACGTCCCGGCTGACAATGTCCTCTTCGAAAGTTGTAACGTTATTATCTGTTGCCTTTTCTGCAATGGACTCGTCTTTTTTGGAATAATATTGTAACATTGCCCCTGATGTTATTTCTTGTACGTAGTTGTGAACGTATTCAGCCATTCCATCCTCGCAATTTAGTGTGTCTTTCCTTGCCTCCTCCTTGGCATATTGTTGTTTTGCCCGTGACGTAGATAAGGTTACAATGTTCAAACTAACCAAAGCCTCTTCCCGAGTCATCTTCATTTTTGCATTTTGACTGTATGGTTGCAGCGAAGTGAAAGGATGATTCTCTTTTTTAATTACGTGACGTTCATGAGACATTCCTTCATCTTGTTCCAACTTACATGAAGACGGGCAATGAACAAGTAGTTCCTCGGCAGTTTCAATCGATTTCTTGAGCAAGTCCAAACCAGTATAGCGTTCTATTTTTAGAGCTGTGGATAACTGTGGAGGTAGTACAGCACTATTCCATTCCGAGTCATCTTTCTTAACGTCGCTTACTGGTCTATACGATACAAGGCTAACTTTACCAGAATTCAGCATCTCCTCATTTTTTCGAAGTTTCCTATCTCGTTCAAGGGTTGTAGCAAACACACAGCTATTGTTTTTTTCTTGTAACACGTGCTCACTGTTCCCAGCTTTCTTTATTTCATCCATAAATACCAACTGGGCGCAAGTGGTGGCGTTATCAACAATGACCCGACTCCAATAAAGTTCCGCGTCGGTTGCTTCGTTTCTGCAAAAATAGAAACAGATGGAAATGTACACTGTGTATTGATTTAGAGAAACCATTGTGTTAAACTATTCGTATCGTGAATAAGACAGTATGTTCATTAGCTACAACGTAATCATTAAGGCTGTATTAAGGTTGTACTTACAGGGTAACTCTATTAAACCTCATCTTGGTTTCAGTTCCAATACCATACACTAAATTATTGTTATCTGAAAATATAAACATCCATTCTTAGTAAATACACCAAGATACATGTAATTCGAAGGAACCAAAATCAAATCACACGCAGGATCATTAGCGACAACGATGCATACTATATAACTATTTAGACCTCGATGAATTAACATGATATATTGGTTACGCACGTTACGCGATTTGTAGTCCATGGTGTTATGTTTAATAACCCATTGAGCGTCAAAAATTGTAGAAAAATAAAGTTTATGACGCTCCAAAGATCGTCACAATAAACTCATTCATGCAATTCAAAACACTACTTGTGCGCACAGAGACGAATACAGTACTGAAATGTGAGAGTGAAAACCTTTCCATTGAAAAATCAGGTCCGAATAATAGCAATACAAGATACAGGTTCGCACTGGGTAGTATGCCGACTGGGACATTGCCAATGTACGTATAGTCCCGTCACCCCACTACCACTGTCCTACATGCCGTCGACATCGCAACGAAAACGACGAAAATTGAATGTCAAAGTTGCGAATAATTTAAAAATCACTTACCAATGATAGTCATTCTTGAACGGAAAATAAATTTTCTTGACGATACAGTGTGATTACTTTGGTCAAACAGAAATACGTGTCGTCCCGTGCGAAGTTTCGGCTTGCGGATAATGCGGATGGAACATCAGCATCAATGGCAAAATGCACAATGCGCTGTTCGATTTTCGAAGTTTTCGTAGATACGCGTTCATTTCTCGCGAGAGTTCCACCGATTATTATTAGAGAGCGTTACTCGAAGCTCCGCGCACGGGTCCGCGCAGAGGTATCTCAGCCGTGCTCTTGAGTCGTAAAATCTCTTTATTTGGTTGTTACTAGTACAGTGGATGCAAGTTTTGGACGTTATGGGCGGTAGCTAGAAATCATATTGATGCTAAGATCATGCAAATTAACTAATAACAATTATTTAAAATAAAACTTGGTGTTTTTGTTATCACCTGTGTTATTTTTATATCCGTGCCATTATTTGCCAACGTGTCTCTTTATTGATTTATTTAGTTTCGAGTCGTTTTCAAGATAACTGCCCTCATAGAGTAAACATCGGTAAATTAAGGGCATTTATTTTATTATCACTTGTACGCCAGCTGACTTCGCAGTGAGGTACTTGACATGTTCTAGCAGGGATTAATGAGTTAAGTATGTACATAGTTTAGACAAAACAACTGTTAGACGAGAAAACTACAGAACCATGACTGGTTTGACAAGTGCAATCCATAATTCTTTTTTTAATCACTGATTGAAATAAGAACCTAAGCCAGGATCCATATACTAATAGTATATAGATTCCAGCATGCATTATTTTCATTTATAAAGTACCCCCGGCTATACATGGAGACAGGAACACCGTTTTAATGTGTCAGACAAACTCTATAGATCAACAAAAATGTCACCAATCGTCTCCTGAAATTATGCATTGATAGCATAGATTTAGTACGACTATCACATACATGCGTTATCCCAGTACGGCAGATACCGAAAACCCATGAAAAGTGGGCGTGACATTTGTAGAGACCCCTTTGGGAAATATTTTACAGGCAAGCGCGGATTTAGGGGATGGCGCAACCCAACCCACGTCAAAAGGAGCGCTCCACCGAATTTCTGGAATCATCAGTGACAAGCGTATCAAACAAGACCTTATCCGATTTATCATCATCGGAATTCGAAAGCCTAATTCATTAGTTTCATTTCCATATATCATTTCAGTTGCTGTTTAGGTTTTCAATTTTGTTGACCAAAAATTACAAGTAGTAAAACTCAAAATATACGAAGTGTTACACATGTACCTCATCGGGAAAACATCGAGCGCCCTCTTCAGCTCTATGACCGTAGCAAAGTGAGCGGAGAAACGTTGTCCCAAACAAACAAATATCCGAGTTATTACTTCCTGGTCCCTACTCTGTGGCAGTGGTTGATTTGTTTTTGTGAACGTGGATAAATTGTTGGATTTCATTTTCCTGGTAAATCCCCACTGAAGAATTCCGTCATGCAAAGTATGATAAATAACCTGAAAGGGACGGCTTTGGGTGTCGCCGAGTTTCTCACGCCGGTTTTGAAGGTAATGTGTGCTCGAGCCACTGTCAGGTGTCTGAATGGCGATCGACACTAAATAAAATTGAACTCATTTGGATCATGTCATTTGTGCTGGTAAAGAGAATATTGAGAATTCTTGGGGTGACTGACGTGTATATATTACACAGAGGAGTCCGAGTGTGTTTTAGGGGTATGTTCAGATCATTCTCAGTGAACCGTTCATTCATGATCGTGTGATTCAAATTTAGTTTCGATTCTAATGTCATTTCAAATATTCGTCTGCATCTTATGTATTTCACCACTTTATAGCATTTTTAGGTGGAGTAAAACAGAAATTTAACACATACCAATTACGTTCCTACAACTTGTTTGATTTATGTGGAAGTAGTGAAAACATAATTAATAACTTTATTCTCTTAACAACCTGACATTTTTTCAAAAGCTCCATTAAATATCGAACTAAAAAAAGATCAACAACTTAAACAAAACAAAACAAAAAGAAATGTACTAGTAATATTATCTTTACGGTGTTGATAGGAAGCATAATATTTTCTATTCTGTTGTACTCGGCTAGATGGCTAATTTGCACCCCAAGAAGTGATTTTGTGTAAAATAACTTTTTAGCTGTCATCAGAGAATGAGAAATTGATAATGTATCCTGTTCATCCTTCATACTGTTTTTTTGTTGGAAGTCAATAATATATTTTGTTAGGATCTTAAAAATGATCGTGTTTTCTTGTTGTTACAATAACTTGTTCCATCATTTTTAAACTTTAGATATATTATCAACCAGTTAGAATTTGAGTTTGTCTTGCATGTATGTATGTCTTTCAAAATTGTCTACTTTGTGTGTTCGCAATAACTCCTTTTATAATAACTTTGCTTTCTTATTAATCACTATAAAATGTTAAAGGGTGGTAGTCGTTATATAATTACTCTCCAAGATAAAATATTAGATAACACAATGATCCATTGTTATTTTTATTATGTCTAGTTTAAATTACTTTTCCTACCAAAAAGTTGCCCATTGTTTTTCCTCTCTAAACTGTTCTTTAGATATATTATTGTGTCTTGTTTCAGGACTTTTATTCTGTCACTTTTGCTCTGCAAGGGAAAGTTCATACAAAGCATTGATTACATTGCTAGTTAAATGCATCATTCATCTTTATTCTCAATGAACAAGGTTGTCATGGTTATACTATGTTATTTTCAAACCATGATTGATAATCTAGTCACAACATAATGTTTAAAACACAACAACATTAGAAGATATTGTTCCAGTTTTTTGTGTGACTGATTTGAAGTTACAAATGAAGATCAGCATATGTAGAATTGTGTATTAACAATACTTATTTTCTCATTCCAGGAATCAAAGTTTAAAGAAACAGGTGTAATCACACCAGAAGAGGTATGCAAATTAGTCCTTGTGTATATTACTATTTATATATGTCCAGTTTACATTTAGTTTCAAATTATCCATAGATGTGGTTTATGGAAATGGAATCAAATTGAAGCAAGAGGCTGTATAAGATGACTTCTATCTACAGTGCAAATTACATATTACATTCAATCAACTGTCATTATCCCCATTCAAACTTAGTCTGAAAACATGGACTTATAGTTCCACTTCCATGTGTTATTCTGCACTTGTATCCCAGCAATGTCTGGGTCAATTTTATTCAAACTTCACATGAATTATTTAAAGTGAAGTGTTAATTGATCAGTACTGGAGCAGACTCAATTTCACCATAATTACATTACCTATATGTTCATGATACTCGCAGTGGTAAAATAATTATTTTTTCAAGCATGTGAAATGATAGGGTACAAATGAAAATTATTTTTTTGGTGAAATAATAGTAATTTGTTTTTTGGAATGAAAATAGACACAGATTGACACGGGGTCATATACTGGATTCGGCCCTGGGCGATCTTATGGAGGATTCGATTTTTTTAAAGAAAAATGTGGACCAAAAGATCGCCCGGGCGATGTTATGGCAGATATTACGAAGCCCATCTTGTCTGGAAAAATAACCCTAATGTTTCGCGTTGACCAAATATAATCATGCAAAGTTTAAATTTAAAGTATTTTAATACATTGGTGAGAGGTCGCATTTTACGTAATCAAGAACATGCACTAAGAAGGAAAAGCAAGCCGAAGTCGAAACTGGGTGCATCATGGACATGACACAACACACACTGCGACAACTGAGTGATCAACGACATCATTTTGGAACGCAATTGAAATTCAATTACTTCTTTGCGAAACTTGCTGCCCGGCAATGCTGACATCAAGTGTGTGTTGACCGAAGTTTGACCCCCAAGTCACGCACTGAACTGGCGCGTTACCTTAGCAACTTTTTGACTCCCATGTGCGAAGCACAAAATGGGAGTCTTTGCAGTTAGTGTGTCTGTATGTGTGTATGTGTGTATGTGTGTATGTGTGTGTGTATGTGTGTCCGACTGTTCCACTGCTATCTCAAGAACCATACATCGGTTTTTGATGAAACTTGGTGCATAGATGCTCTGGGCCAATGCGCAGATTTGATTAGGTTTTGGTAAAAATCCATGCTCGTTAATTACCTAATTTGCATGATAATTAGCTAATTTTTAGCTGTTCTATGACTGTTCCACTGATATCTAAAGAACCACTCATTGGATTTTGATGAAACTTGGTACATAGATGCTCTGAACATATGCGCAGATTTGATTAATTTTTGGTAAAAATCCGTGCATATTAATTACCTAATTTACATGATAATTAGCTATTTTTTAGTGGTTCCATGACTGTTCCACTGATATCTAAACAACCACTCATTGGATTTTGATGAAACTTGGTACATAGATGCTCTGAACTAATGCTAGGTTTTGATTAGTTTTTGGTAATAATCCGTGGATACTAATTACCTAATTTGCATAATGATTAGTCAATTTTCGGTTTTTCCACTGATATCTCAAGTACTAATCATCACATTTCAAATGAAACTTGGTACATAGATGTCATACGACACTGCACAGACCTGATAGTTTTTATGGTAATATCAGTACATATTAATTACCTAATTTGCATAATTAATTAATTTCA